TCAAATCATTGTTCCATATCTTTCTTGAAAAGTTACATCCTTCACTTTGAATAAATATGGCAATTGGTTTTATATAATATAGTTAAAAAAATTATAAATTTTCAATCAAATAGCCTTTTTGTTATTAAAAAAATTTCTATACTTAGCCTTTTTACAAATTAACTAAAAAATTTAATTTAATTAAAAAATTAAATTACTTTTCTTTATAAAGCTTGACTATTTCTTAACGTATTTCTGACATTTTGGCGTTCAAAAAAATTTTTTTATTGTATTAAAAGATATCCATTTGTATGTGTGTCGAGGAGATATTGGTAACTGAAAGCGATTGTGTGCATCTAATGTGAAATCGGGCGCGAAAAATTGTGATGTTCTAGAACTAAGTGTTTCAATGAGACGTTTCAACAATTTCAACTCGCAATCTAACAAAGCTTCCGGCATATTTATTCAGGAATGCATTGGATTTACGAATGAAAATGAAATGAGATTGTTCAAACAGAAATGTTGAATTCAACAATTGTCGAACAAACTATTGCAAATTCAAGTTAACCAGAATCTAGTTAACCATATTCGAGTTAACCAGAATCAAGTGGAACAGAATTGTGATAATTTCTCGAGCAGGACACTGACTCACTTACAATATCTTACTAAGTAATCGGTTAAATATTTCCTCTTTTCGTATGCGATAATGAAACTCATCGGAATTTTTATGGATGAATTTGCCAGGGAATGTACGGTAATTGGCGAACAATGTGGAACACACGATTGATACGAAGGAGGCCATAGAAAAGCGATCTTCTCTTTTTGAGAACAGTTTACCACCGTTTTAGTCGTAGTGCTTTGGTCGTAGTCGTAAGTTTGACGATCGCCCCGAATATCTGCGACTTTTTCGACCGCGACGAATCAGGTCGTGGGAGTGATTAAGAATTTTACGAGGACATGGAAAAAGTATAGAAAGAAGACGCACTTCTGCGTCTTCCGCCGCTTTCAGCATACAATGTCGGCGGTTTGCACAGTGCGACAAGCTCCGCTCGCGCAAAACCAGCAAAAGTCATCACTTTCCACGCGGTGACGAAGGCGCGGGGCTCGTCCTTTTCGCTCGCGCCTTGCTAAACCAAGCAGAGCAGAAATTCACGAAAATGACGTCAAAACGACGAGAAAACGAATCGCGATTGGAAGAATGAATTATTTTAGTCACACACTCGTCACTTTGATATCATTTTGACGTAATATCGTGACTTTTTTCTTCTTCCCGGGCAAGCCGTGCGCACTGCGGATGGTCAGTTTCCAACTTGGCGCTCACTTCGACCTCGTTATTTGCATAATGATAACGCGGATTAAAACAGAGGAAGCGGATGCATATCTCGCAACGCATGCGAATTTGCATGCGATTTCCGTGGGCCGATGGGATCCGAGGTGAAAGATCAGCCGCGGTCTTTGCCAATCGTTAGCATTGTCGTCCGGCCGTCGTTAATGCGGTAAAAATCGAGAGCATGGAAATCGAACGGACGTGAACAGATGGGGTGGGAATCAAACGAGAGCGGACAATTTCGAAAAGCGGGATCGCACAAAACGTTTTACTCTCGGTTTTTGCGACAACTCGCCGCGACGACACTTCCGCCGGTCGCTCCCCCACCCCTTTATGCTCCCTCTCCCCCTTGGCGTGAGAATACCAGCCGTTTCTTTTCAGGATGAGACCGGTGGGACGAGCGCACGGTGACGGTGCTACAGGAGCTTTCGTTGGAGGGGAGGGGTTTTATGCCAGAGCGACCGCGAAGCCGATAAGTGGGACATACGCTCCTACATCTCGGTATTTCGTAGTGAACTCGCCGTCAGCTCGGACCATCCGCGCGGCATCAGAAGCGTTCGCGAAAACCGCTCTGCGTACCGTCGTCGTCGTTATCGACGTCGTCGTCGTCGTCGTCGTCGTTGTTCGGCAACAGCAAGTGCCTTCCTCGCACATTTCCACGGCTCCAAGGCAGATTTCCGGCTCGGAGCCCGCGCGTTCCTCCGACAACGCACCGATTGTAAGTCGTTTGTCTTCTCACAACCCTCGCGTATTCTATCCTCTGTCTTCTCACAACCACCCCGTAGGCCTATTTTGTAACTTCTAAAGACACAATGTCGTTACCGCAGCTCGAATACACCGCAAATTCAAGCAAATGACACACTTATGTGTGTAAAATCATACACGGAACGTATCGCAAATTATTTGCGATACGTCAATTTAATATGTCAGTATCCAAAGAGAACAGAAAGGTCAAAATAATGTCAACTTAACGTCATACAGACCAAATTTAACTTTATATTGACTCGTAACTTTACTCAACTTTACTTAACTTTATATTGACTCGTTTCTTATTGTATCTTTCTGATTCTTAGAAAATAACTTCTGTTCTCCTTAAGTATGCAAAAAAAACTCATTTAACGGTGTAAAATACATATAAAAGGTACAGAAAAGATAACTCACGTACAAGTGCATACATGATACGTAAAAGTGACTACATGATTTTACATACGTATGTAAGTATAAAAGTTGCACACTTGGACTTGCAATATTATCATTATGATAACGATGCTTGTTGTGTATAAACGATTTCTTCAACAAGACGTGTTTTGTATGTAACGATAACATAGCCACAATATTTTTGAGAAACAATCTCATAAGGTTGTATAAATTAGTTAAGTAAGAAGTTGCGTTATTACAAATATTTGTCACAAATATTTGTATAATTTTTGAATGTAATTTAGCGTCTTTAATTTTTAGCTTCTTTTCTATATTTTGATTTAATTTTTTATAAAAATTTTAAGATTAAACGAACTTGAAAAATGAAGTTCGATCTTAATTATGCTTTTGTCTCGCCCGGATGGATACTATGTAGTCATGCCTTTGAATATGCATTGTCAACAAAATTCATAACTCCCACTAGAAAAAAGGAAACGTTGACATCTGACATCGCCGATATGCAACTCTTTATTATGTACTCTGTTCTTACAGAGTCAATAGAGTTCCTATCTAGATTCTAATGGATTCTTCTGCGTGCTGTTTCTCCTCTCAAGATAAACTTTTTCAGCTTATTTATGAGTTCTTTGAGTCCTTGAAATATCGTGAAACTCCTTTGGCTACTTCTTTAAAACATTCTGAAATATCATCAAATGTAACTCCTGAGGACAATTCATTTTTATCGGGCTGTCCTATTGATGATTTCTGCAGATGTCCATGGTACTATGGATTCTGGTAATCCAGAATTATATACAGATGAATAGACGATTATCGATAGCCGGCGAACCAAGTATGTCCCCTTGTTAACCCGTTTCTTCTTCAGAAAATCGGCAAACAGACGACATAACCGATTGCTCGGAGGCATGACTACATAGTGTGTCCATCCGGACGTGACTACACAATTATTATTTTCCATAATTTATTGTCCAAAATTATTCATATTCAAGACAGACTGTAACAACTGTAAGACTCTGTACGGAATAATGGCGCTAGTGCTAATTTTTTCAATTTGCTCTCGAACTCGTGCGATTATTTTAATCTGATCGTTTTGTACAGTGAAACGGAACGGTGATTGCCATTCTCGAACTCGGAATAGAAGCGAGTAAGATCTTGAATGGCATAAATTTCTTAGAACGAAGAACCGGACCTGTTGATCCCGAAGTCACTTCCTATCTTTTACATTAACTTTACATTAAGTAATATTCATACTTTTCTTACTACATATCTTTTTTATGGAAAAACAACAGTTTGGTCGTATGAACCAATTTCTGGTGTAATATGAACGATTCGGGAATTACAGTTAAAGTTATCAGAATTCGATCTAAATTATCAAGATTTCTGACTAACAGAATTCTGGTCATTTTAATCGGAATTTCTGAGTTGTTCAGAACTTCATCAGGAATTGGTTCACCTAATCAAACTTTTCTTTGCGTGTATCTGGAATTTAAAATGGCTGTTTATTTTAATATTATATATAATATAATATATTAATATATGTACAATGTTATATATTATATTATTTTCGCGAAGAATTCAAGGATCGCCGAAATTAATGTACTTTAAATATTTTCAAGGAATATTTCCGCTTTTATAATTTTGCCCCACTACATTTTAGATGTAGCTTGCTCGAATAAGAATAAATTTTCGTACGTTGAAAGCTCGGCAACCACATCGTCATGTGCGTTATTTTGTTACGTTGTTAAATAATTTGGTCTCCTTTTGCTGTGAAATTTAAATGTTATCGCGTTTAATACCTTGTAAACGGCTCTTACTTTCGACTTTCGTTAACTATCTAAAGATACCTGTAAGACGACCTACTTTATCAGATCTTTAAGACGCCTTTCAGGAATTTGTGCTATTAATCATCGTATAAGCGATGTTATGATAACAATAATAATTTTATTAGCACTGAATTAAATAACTTAATAATAAAGGACTTTAAGAGCCGATTGTCTCGGGGTCTCATTAAGAGAGCCGATTCTCTACCGGGTCTCATTAAGATTCATATAAAATACAACCAATTGCATTTGAAAACTTAGTCGTGCGATCGATAGAGGATCCAAGAAGCGAAGCTGTACACTTTTACATAAAGATGTAAAAGGTACACCTCTATATTAAGGTACACAACTGTAGTTTCTCGATCTATATGTCTTTGCCGTATTTTTGCTAATGTGATCGCTAGTTAGGCTTTCGTGCAATAAACGGAAGTCTACGCGATAGTCAACGTGTTGGTTTCGCTGAACGATCGATCATCGTCATTGAATATAATGTCAGTGTTCTGCTCTTCATTTCTGAGAAAATCGGGAGAGACGCGATATCCTTCGTGACTATCGAGTCGATCAGGCCAGCCAAGACTGCTTTTATTCGCCTAACAATTTGTTATGGTATGCACGCACGTTTGCGTCCAAACAAATTCGATGTATGCAAAAACTTATAAAGAGGAGTGATAACGCGGGTGACATTGGCTTTATCGTGCCGAACATAACGAGCGTAATTGGCTGTAATTTGACTGCGCCCGATGATAAGTTTCAAACGCCGAGTCCTTGTTGCTAACTGTTGGCACGTTGCAACTTCGCTCGTTCCATTCGTTGGCTTCGATGTGTTCGGAGTCTAACGATCACTCGTCCGATAATAAGTTGAAAAATTTTTCATTGAGTCACGCGCGGAAATCGAGTAAGAATTGTGTGCATCTTCATGCTTGAGTTCGCGCGATTGTTCATCGCGCGATTAGTCTTCTCGTGCACGTTACTGTAATTTCACGGAGGAATCTTCCAACACGGAGAATTTCCTTTGAAGTGGCCGGATATTCACACGGGGAAGACTTTCCAAGGAATTCCAACTAGAACAGATCACGATGACGTTAAAACGACAAGAAAATGGTCAAATCCAGACAGAAAAGTGAGTTTTTCTCGTCACTTTGACATCATTTTGACGTGATTTTTTCTCCTGCCTGGGATGCTTTCGGCAGCAGAAGCTCACAACCGATCGCAGCTTCCGAGCGCAGTTTGTTAAAACTGTCATCCCAAATCGAGAACACCGAGCTCGTCATGAAAGATCGCCTAACGCCCTTCTCAATGTTCTCGCGGGATTTTCGCGAAATTTTGTGAATATTATGCGTGTTTTAGGCAGAACATACATACGCGCATACACACACACACACACAAACAGAAAGTCACGATGGCAAAAGAATGACTAAACATCTTATTTTTCGATCATTTTGACGTCACCATGATCTTCCATTTTGCCTGAGATCGTTTACCGTAAAACGCATTTCAACACAGTCATTAATTGCATTCGTGTTACCGACATTGCTTTTTCACCCGGCAATTTCGTTCGTAACGGAATATCCGCTTCATAATCAATCAATCGTGTCGTCTAACATGTTTGCAGAGCATCTAACGCTAAATTTTCCCAGAAATCTCGTTCTAATCCGATTAGAAATTTATCCTATAGTTCTGATTGATCTGAAACAATTATCTGGTTCGTATTATTAGGCAATTTTTTTAATCATTAATTAGGCCCTTAATTATTAATTATTATGAATCAAAAGCGGATAATCGCAATTCTTCACTGTGTGTGTATATGTGTGTACGAAGACGGATCGAATTACAAAAAAATTACGAAATACGAATTACAAAAAAATCATGTTTTTGATCGATCTTGTTACGATTTGAAGAAAGTATGTTTTGGCGTTCGATATAAAGAGTAAAAGAATTTAGCAATATGGACGTATTTTTTAAATCTTTTAACGACGCAAAAACGGCATAATGATATGATACAACAAATAAATGAATAACTTTGACTCTATCAAAACGTGACGCGCGCGAAACGAGCCGAGGAACATCGTCGGTTCGTCTGTTCTCCCTCTTCCTCCCCGTTTCGTGTCGAATGTGTTATCTTTTTGAACGCTGATTATTCGCGAGAGATTTTCGTCGGAACGTGACGCCAATTCGGATTCCAGAATTCCAAAACATCGACTCGGTTCTCCATTGGAAGATTTCACGTGTCCTACGTGACTCGTCGACATTATCCCCATCGTGGCTTCGAATCGCCGCAATTCGCGGCAGAATCGAGACATCGCATCTGCAGAGTTGCGCGCATGCACGGGCGCGATCAACAACGCGCTTTTTAAATTATCCCATTTGTCGCGCTACGGCGAATCGCTCCGGCGTCCGACACACTTTCTTCAACGATCTTGTTCTGCTTATTAGAGTGGAATTGAGAAGATCCATCCTAGGAGAGAAATCACGTCCCATTCGATAATGCGCGCGCGATACATACCGGTCTTTGCGCGGATTTATCGCTTTCGCGGACGTGAATATAGTAATAATAATGATAACTTAATTTTTTGTATAGCCGATGCCTCTGACTCTGCAGATAACTCTATACTGTTTATATAAGAAAGACAGACAAACGCACACGGATGGCCTAACCCGGTTAATATAAGTGTAAACATCGTAATTGGAACTAGGGCCAAGGAGAGTAGCGTAAAATAACATCAGGATAAAATAAAGAGCTCGGTAAATTGCGCAAATCAGTGCGACCAATGCGACCAAATATAACGTACAAAAAATAAAAAAAAAGAAAGAAGAGCTGCGTATTGATAGAGAAAAGGATTAGTAGCGACAAAGTGACGATTAAAAAGGAAAAATATTCAGCGATACGATGTCGTGGCATTGGTAGTTGCTATTTAAAGCAAGTGTCAGGTACAGATTCTGAGTGAAAGTCAACAGCGAGATGAAGGTAATCATGTAGATATAGGTGGAAATTATATATATATATATATATATATATATATACAGGGTGTCCCGCGTAAGACGGACCAAAAGAAAAATATAAGTAGAACACATGAACATGATAGAAAAATGAACAAAAATTGTATAGGTCATTTTTCAAACAACCACGTAAAATTTCGAGATATTAATTAAAATAATTTGACAAATTAGAACGCGCGATGCGACAGGCAGGATATACGGCTCGCAGTGGTCGAT